TACAGCACATGTTTGTGTGTGAAAGAACCTTAAAATGCTGTTAAATACATCTGAGCAATGAGAAGAGGTGGGCTTTCCGTCAGACTGTCCTTCACCGTTTCCGTCAGTATTTCAGGCCAACCCACCTGGGCCCCGTTTGTCCCTCATCGGCGATACCCGATTGGTAACGAAAGGAATTTCCCTGGCACACACAGGTGCCACACAAGCTGACACGCAGCGTGGTGATTAGTGAAATAAAAACAATATGGAACACGTCATTGAGGTCTATAAGAGCAAATTTTCTGTATTTGTTGGTGTGCGGCACCTGTGTGTGATATTGTAAGTCCGGTCTCAATGCCGATGTCTTGGACGGATCAGGCCAGCCTGAAATATTGATGGCAGCTGCCTGACAATGCCTACCTTGTATATGAGGCTCTTGACTTTTGTCAACAGTAAAACTGATTAAGGATGGTCACCTTTCACACTGGAACAGAGACAGTACAGATTCCTGGGATCTTGTAATCAACACCATACTCAACGGTACCAATTTTTGGGACTATGTGTGTTTTTGTGGTAATTAAGATTAATTTTACTAATAAAACCTCATTCTGTATCATTTTTAGTTTTTGGTATTTATTTTTCAGCATATTAACTTGTAGCTTCTGAATGATCTAAGAGCTGGTTGGAGCCGGTTGCAAGGAGTCATGCCAAATCAAATGGTGAAATTTCCTAACCTGAGATTTCATCCATCCGTTTTCTAATCGGCTGATCCTGACGAGGGTCACGGGCATGCTGGAGCCTTTCCCAACTGTCCTCAGGCACATATAGACAAACAGCCATTCGCGTTCAAAATCACACCTAGGGACAATTTAGACTAGTGTTCCATCAGCCTACCATGCATGTCTTTGAAATGTGGGAGGGAACCAGAGTACCTGGAGAAAACCCACGCAGGCATAAGGAGAACATGCAAATCCCACACAGGAAGCTCCGGAGCCGAAAGCGAACTCTGCATCTCGGCACTGTGAGGCCAACGTGCCCTGTTCCGACTTCATAAAAATCAATGTAATTATAATATGCAAATGGGAAAAAAAGAGTTTTGGCAGTTGTAACCTGGCAAAAAGTGGCAGACAGCAATAAGGTATCAACCTTATTGTGGTTTCAGGCCGTATTTTGAATTTGAATTTTCTTTTGTTGGAAGAAGAAGTAGGAAACTGTAATGTCGAGCATAAAAACATTGAAAACTGAATCTTGGATAGACATAGGTGGGCAGACAGAAAATGTCATTTGGACAACTCCCTCAATTCTCCTTTGCCTCATACAGTAAATGTTGACGCACTAAAGAAAATAGACAAATGAGGAACCTCTGATCAAATATATCTGCATCTAATAGAAGGCTTCATATTCACTTCCAACACACACACACACATTCACAGACATACATAGTTGCGAGCCAGACAGTGTTTATGAAGTGCAGCCTCAGTGAGTCCATCAAGTCTAATGATTCCCTCCTGGTTGCGTCTGTCAGCATCGTCTCCCTCCACGGCTACATCGCTCCATCACTCCCTTTCCTCCCTCCTTGCATTAGACACCCCCCTTACCTCTCCCGCATCCCTCCATTGCCTGCCAGAGGTTTTTCACATCATGTCTACCGTGCCAGACAATTTCCTCCCCCCCATCTTTGCCTTTTCTTTTTCTTCCTTTGGTCGCCCACGTTTGCTCTATTTTTTTCTCCACACCTTCAACCCATCAAACGTCTCCCTTCATCCTGTTAGTCATTCTCCCCTTCTTCTCTTCCTCCCCTGTCTGTTACTTCCCATACCGTAGCATTCGCTTCCTTAGCAAATTGACAGATTTGCTCGCATATCAAACACATTTTGGAAATGGCAGACATCTTTGTGTGACACATTTTTCAAATAGGATGTGTTTACAGTGATAGCAGACAAGCATTTGCCCCATGAGGGAAAATCTTGATTGGGAACCCCCCCCCCACACACACACCAAAAAAAAACATGGAATAGCTGGCCCAGTGTTTCCCAACAAGGGTGCCGTGACACACTAGTGTGTTCTTTGATATTCTTTGAATGCCGGGGGGAATTACCCAGTTTCACTTAATTTGTACGTAAATTACAAATAGATCTTCACTCATCTATATATGAAGCCAGCCAAATGTATACTGACAGGAAGAACAAATAAATGCTCTCCTGTTACAGGCAGAAGGTCTAATAAACCCCTGTATCCACATGTTGCCTTCAGACAACAATAAATCATGGCTCTGTGTGACTATTTCACTTTTGGATTGAATTAAACGGACCCGGATTTCAAGATACGTAAACACACTTATATTGTAAATTATTCGCGATATTGCAGTGTTTTGCAGTGATTATTATGTGGCACAGACTGATACTGCAGACTCAAATAGCAATAATTGCAGGCCGGGAGCAAAGAGTGTGTAAAAAAGAGAATCTTGTAATAATTAACATTTGAGAAAAGAAGCTAAACTGCAACATGGACAACTGGCTGAAGTTGCACAAGTACATGTCAACGGGAAACGTCATTAGCTAATTTAGTATAGCCTACCACCACTAGTTAAAACGAATTGGAATCAAAAATCGTTGGTTGCGATTGAGGGACTTTTGATAGACACAACCACTTGTATACTTTCACTTTTTAAAAAAGGATAACTACATTAACCACAAGCACATTTTTAGACAACATGCTGAGAGCCTCAACTGATGTCATCACGGACCGCCAGAGTTTCTGTTTAGCCAGTTAACAGCCAACCAGCTTGACACCCTGATCGACTCAGTCCCATGTCACTCAACAGGCCAGCCCTGCATTTAAAGACACACGCACGCATGCACACACACACACACACACACACACACACACACACACACACACACACACGCGCGCACACACACATGAGCGTGCATTCAACTTTGCAGATACTACAGTGTCGAACATGAGGACGGCAACCCCAATAGGACAAAAATGACACCTGTACCTCATATGCATGTATTATTGGTGTTCTGCGTAAAGCTTTAAAACAAATAGGTCAGAGTTTTTTTCTGTTTGGCTCTGGATGAAGGCGAACCCTTTTTGCTTTGTTCCTGCTCTGCACCCGCTCCCTTTTTCCCTGCTTGCTTGCTGATTTCGGTTATGCGCTGTCCCTGTGTCTAAAACTAGCCTTCTGCTTATTTTTCTTCTGAAAAACAAATAATGGAATTCGTCAGCTGGACTCTCAGCACTACAGATAAAATTGTTTCAACGAAAGGAGCAGGCCGGGGGGAGCTTTCTTGCCCCTCTGGGATGTTTGCTGCTGGGTACACTTTAGATCCTTGGCAGAAATGGAGGATGGTGTGTCTGTCGATACTGTCAGTAGAGGATGTGGAAGACATGTACATTATTGGTCTTCTGATAACAGGTATCCTGATGTTTGGAGTTAGAAATTTCCTGTTCTATTGCAAAATTCAGCTGGCGGGAGCAGCTTTATTGGAATAAGCTGACGGTCTCCATGACAAACTTACATTTTGGAATGGTGTAAATTTGTAAAAGTATGACAGAGTAAATTGGCTTGAAGGATGAAGTAGGCTCATTCATCTTTTACTTTCTTCTTATGGGCAAAGTCGAAATTTGTGGTATGTGAAAAATAATTCTCAAGGTGAGCTGACTATTTGGACAGTTTGGCAATGTGCTGAGTGTCAGCCATCAAATTCGGTGGAATAATAAGAATATAAAAATAACACATTTTGTTCTCAATATACAGTATGATGGCTCTTGTTATGATGTGTATTGTTGCATTCAAAAAAATGTTCTGTATGCATTTACTGCGGAGAATCATGTGACTCAACTCTGTCATCAAGCTGAAAACCTGCATGGACAAATCACTCCCCTTTGCATTACCTGTCACCAAACACCACAATGTAGATGCTTTAACAAATGGCTCTTACGAAAGTAAACAGATAAATTTGGCACATACCTGTCGCTGAATTAGCCCCACGATATATTCAATGCAGTTGTGTGGTAGCAGCTGCCTGTCTTACACTTTCCAGTCGGTTGCCTGATGCATAATTGTCGACGTAAAACAGTCACAATCACTCCTTGATTACATCCAAAAGCAACAAGGCAAAAACATGCGTACTTAACAACTACATACAAACAGTTTGTGCAGTGATGTCAATGACTCTTTACATTTGTTGAGACTGGTAATTCATCGTTGTGCCCCTTTCACAAAAATACACAAAAAGCCAATGAAAAAGTAGAATGCTGTGATGGAGTGAGATGCTCACCAAGCTTTGAATGTAGCGTTAACGTTGTATATAAGAGGAAGGGGTAAGAATGGTGGTGACATATAAAGGGGAAACCGATTGACAGGTGTCTTTCTGAAAGGACATCTGCCTGCTGCTCAGACTTAAACCCGTCTTAAATTACTTTCCTGCACAGAAAGAAAATGCTTCAAGCACTGGCTTTTTATGAACAAGACAGAGTATGTCTCCACTCATGAAATTTGTAAAGAAGGTAAGAAAAAAAATGTCAAACCACTGCAACTATTCCACCAGCAGACATATTTTGTCTGCTTTTCAATTTACACTTAATGAGAAATTCCGCTACCTCTCTCTGTTCTGTTATTAGTCTTTCCCCTCTTCAGTCTCACAGCATCTTTAATACCTTTGCTGTTCAGCCTGTCTAAGCCACAGTGGCTCATTTGTATAAATAGCTTACCACTGTGTGCGTGTGCGTGCCTGCATGTGTGTGTGTGTGTGTGTGTGTGTGTGTGTGTGTGTGTGCGTGCGTGTGTGTGTGTGTGCGTGCGTGCATGCATGGCAGTGGATGTTTCAGTGAGTATATGTTGCATTGTCTACTGCAGTGTTTTCCAACCTTTATTGAGCCACGGACAAAGGTAATTAGCATGGCAATGCTCTGAAAATTGTGCAAAGAGGGCGAAGCGGCTGCTCCGTCCGCATCCAACTCTGCCCGCCTGACCCGGCTGCTCCTCCAGCCGCGGCACGTGCCTGGCCCCGCTCCTTGTCCCGAAGTTACGGATCTGACTTGCCGACTACAGTGAAACTCCTCTAGAACGAAACCTACATGGGCGAAAATACCCCCTTATGTGAAAAAATCTTCATGCATTAACATAATTCCCATTCTCCTGCCCCCCATACGACGAAAAAAAAACCCTGTTGCATTATACGAAATCATTTTCTCTGCTCCTGCCTCGCAAAGACATTCACTACAACAAAGTCTAATCCAACAGCGACCTCTACTGCTTCGTTCGGAAACGGCAACAGCAACCACCACACTGGTTTACATAGTGAACGATGTTTATATCGGTCACAGCTGCGAGTTTCCTGAACACAACATACTTTGTTATCATGCTAAAAACACCCACGGGACGCTTCGTAGTCCTCGATGGCCATAGTTAGCTCTCGAAGGCTAAAAACCTTACGCTAACTGGAGCGCTAACCTTACGCTAACTGGAGCGCTAATGAGAGAGAAGCGCTCCAGTTAGCGTAAGGTTTTTAGCCTTCGAGAGCTAACTATGGCCATCGAGGACTACGAAGCGTCCCGTGGCTGGCTTAAAAGTTCATTGCATGCCAGGAAGTATTTGTTATTGTTAGATTCAGACAAGGATGGACGTTGCATTGCTAAAATGGCTACAAAACGGACATTTGGATGTCAAGCAGCTTAGACAAGAAGAGCTCTGATGCTGGAAGACAGGGTAAAAGTGGTCAAAATGAAAGACGGAGCAAGCAAAATAAAAGACATTATCCAAGAAATTGAGGTAAGTGAAAGTGAATGCTGATCGTAAATTTCGCAATTTCTTTCCCTTTTTTTTCTTTCTACACTGACAATATCAAGTGTCAGATCAGTGTGTGCTCATACTTATGCACTATTGGAATAAAAATAGAGTACACATACGTTTGTGTGTGCGTGTACACATACGTTTGTGTGTGTGGGTGTGTGGGTGTGTGTGTGCTTACATCTGATATCAAATTTGCTACAGTGAAAAACCCCCTGTTGTGAAAAATTTCTTGCTGCAAACATGATTTCGTTGTAGAGGAGTTTCACTGTACCCTTACCCACCTTGTTCTAACATGCCAGAGGCTGTTCAACTTGGAGACCTGCTGCGGATATGGGTACGGCCTGGCGCGATATTTTCACCCCCGGATTTTCAAGGGCCGACAGGGGCTCACCGGACGCCGCCTGAATGCGACGCTTTCCAGGGCGCGGGCCCCTCTCTCGGGGCGAACCCATTCCAGGGCGCCCTGCCCTTCAGCGAGAAAAGAGAAGTCTCCCCGGGGCACCTGCCAGGTTCTCCGGGATCGCTTGCGTTGCCGCGCTGGGCACGTTGCATTCTCATGTCGTCAAGCTTGTAACCATAAGTTTCGCCAGTTTTTCTGAAAGGTGTGTTTACCATCAGGAATTCTATAGAAGACTAGATCTCTGTGTGTGCTCTTTCCATTCTGACAACCCATGGCACAAGACTATTACGACTCACAAGCGTGTGTTTTCGGCCTTCAAGATGCGCGCGCAGCCAGAATTAATGTATGCATATGTCACATGAAACGGATCTATTCGTAGTCTCGGCTGACCGTCGTCCGGGAGACTCCCTTTCGAAAGCAAGAGACAATTTCAGCCTTCACAGAGCGCAAGATTTGCTTCTGTTCCGGAAGTACAACAATGTACAGAGTCGTTCAGTAGTGTTGCTAAGCAACGGAGGGGAGGGCAATTAGCTTCCCGCGGTTCGTTGTAAAGAAGGCATTTTCACTATTTCACTATAAAAGTGTTCGTTGGAAGCAAAACCAGCAAATGGAAAATTAATTTTGTGAAATCACGACTTTGACATGTGAACGTTATGGGGGTGGAAACGTAAACGGGTATGTCGAAAAGAGGTTCGACTTTCGTAAGTGATTGTATCGGCTATTTGGAAAAACTACCAACTGGCTGGTTGTGATGAGTACCTTTTGTCTCATACACACGGCCATTAGATCAGGGTTTGAATCTTTGTTGGAATGTGTTTGCGTGCAGATTGTATGCCCTCCTGCCCAGTCTTACTTTTGTCCGTCTTGCGTTTTTGTTTGTAAAGAAACCTTTTTGGTGCCAAGATCTTATCCTTGTTTACATTTGTGGGAGCCACCCCTATCCGGATTATTCCAGAACGTGACAGTTCCAGTTTGTTCATTGCGCCCTGATTTGTCAAAAAGTATTAACGCCCAGAGAAAACATTACAACTTCTCATAGTGATCGTATTGCCTTGAATTATGTAAATTTGTCATGTAAATACTCATTATCATGTGTAACACATCTCAGAACACATCTTTTTATGGGCCGACGGTGGCTGTGGTTGGCTAGGGTTTTATGACACACTACAGCTGTATTCTATATGCTCCTAGTGCATGTGGGTGTTATAAAAGTATGTTTGCTTGAGATAAAGAAGCCCTATTAATGTTTGGAAGATGAGTCGTAAAGTTATTCGGAATAATCTATATGTTTTGTGTGTGTGTGTGTGTGTGTGTGTGTGTGTGTGTGCGCACTATGAGCAAATACATTGTCGCATCGAGAGAAAAAATACATTTGACCCGTATTCAGCATTATGAACAAATCATCACATATGACGTTAGCTGTGTAACACTTAGATGCTTAGTTTCGATGTATAGATACACAGCTAGCTAGCTAGCTAGACAGACAACACGTAGACACAACACTTGTTTTTATTCCCATTTATAATGAGCACAAATCAAAGATTATTTCTATGTACACAAAAGTTCTACTTCCCTTTATTGGTTCACAAATCTGTGTTAGTGAGCACTTATCACATGAGATAATCCATCCGCTTCACAGGTGGGGCTTATCGCATGTTAAGATAAAAGATCACTCTAAAATGGGCGGTTTATCATCCAGAACAATGTCATGGATGTGAAGTTTTGGGGAAGCGTGCATTTGGCATACTGACTGAAAAAATGTCCGCCAGAGCGGTTGCCCTTGAATTAAACCTTCATTTCTCTATCATAGGCTGCCTCTTAAGGTGCTTCAGACAATTTGGTAATACATCCAACCGGTATTATACAACCACATACCACACCACCCAGTACCCTCTCATCCACCATCTTCACTTCCAAGATTGTCCGAGACCAGCCACCCTGACGGGTGCTGGAACAATCGATTTGCATAACCAAAGAATTTCTGTACAAACTGTCAGACACCGTTTCGGTGAAGCTGAGCTACATGCTCGTTACCCTCAGCAGGGTCTGGACCCGGGACCTGACTGCAGTTTGTTGTAGTCACTTGCTTTCATGGGCAAATGCTCACAGTCACAAGTGTCTTGCACTTTGGAGAGGTGGTGTTCTCTTCACGGATAAATCCTGTTTTTCACTGTACAGGGCAGATGGCAGACGGGCATGTTGGGTGACGTGTTTTGCTCGAGTAGACCATGGGGGCGCTTGGTTTATGGTATAGGGCAGGCAGACTTGTGTCTTTGACAACACACAGGTGTGTAAGTACAATACAAGTGACCAAAGGCCGATGGCAAAATCTTTAAAGTAACATGCAAGTAAATGAAAGACTCTCGCAGCACTTCCCTTCCCCTCCCAAGGGTTAGTGCAGCACGAATATGGAAGCAGGCATTGGAACAGAATGGCTTCTTGGGAACTTCTTAATGGTTTTAAACTTTATTAAATGAATAAAGAACACTCTAAAAAGTAAAAGGGTCTTAATCAGGGCTATATAGATTTCTGACAGGGCTATAGCACCCAGCAATTATATCATGTGCAAACATGTGGCTCCGGTAGCACCAGGCTGAGCGTAGACAGCCATCCGCAAGAAGAGCTGAGAGTCGTTTCGTCACATCATATGGGCCAGTGAGTCCCAACCATAGTGCTATGTTACGTGAGCATGCCATGAGAGATCATTAGGGGTGACGCGGTTAACTATATCAATTCACTAATTTGTGCGAAAATAACGATTGATTACAAATATACAATAGCTTCAAGTTTTCACACTGAGTAAATTGAGACAAGATCATGATGGTTTCAGTATTGACATTTCTGTTTGGTGGTGTTCCGTTTTGTAATGTTAAATGAAGGTCGAGGCTCACTAATGGTTAGGAAATACTGATCCATATTCTTACATACAGGGAGCAAAAGCCTGCACCTACAGAGAGCAGTGGAGGAATAAGGTCAAAGTCCGCTAACGTGAAGAATGAATCACTCTCCAGCTCCCTCCTCTCGCTGCTTTTCGAAATAATTTGCAACAGATGATTTTTGCAACATGGCATCCCAAAAGATCAACTGTGTTCCGTCACTGAGACATCTTTGTTTTATCCTCCGTCTCAAATCCCCACGGCACATTTCACATACGACAAATTGTGTTGACCCGTTATTACTTTGGTGATGTTGTCATTGTCAAAAGGAAGGTTATATGCTGTAGTTAAATGAAATGATAATGTATTTTTTCCCAGGTTTGTTTTGATCCACACACAATCAATGTAGAGTGGTGCCTCCTCTTATACGTTTAAGTTGTGGGGTTTTTGAATCTTGGCCGGGACGGGTTTCAGCTCACCTGCGACCCTGATGAATATCAGTCAGCCATCTCGTTACCTCTGCGTCCTGTCTCCTAGACGCATAATTTTCCCGCGGGACGCACAGTTCCAAATAATGTGTGCTTTTGGGACGCAAGGAAATTTCTCAGTCAAAACAAAAAAAAACTACGGTAAATCGTTTTTTCCCGCAACGATCGCCGTTTGACCATCGCCGCCATTGTTGTTTTGATCTCGCGTTAAGTAAGCTCGTGTGACGAGATTTCCGTTCTCATGAGACGAGATTGGCGAGATCGGCCTCCACCTCGCGGGAAGCAGACGATTGCCAAGTTGTGTAATGTTAAAACAAGTGTTGCGAACAAGTGTTGTGAAAGTTTATTGCGGAGATAGCACAGAGGAAGCAGCTGAAGTTGGATAGTTTTTTTGTGATGATAAGTTGACTTTGAGAAAGCCTTGCATCATTGGAAGCGGAGTAAAGAGAAGAGAATTTATGAACTCAAAGACTGAACCATGGGATGAAATAAGAACCTATTTCTCAGCAAATCTTGTATGCCTGAATTATTAAAATTTTTGCAGCATTTGTTTATAAGTAATAAACCTATTATCAATGATTATCAATGTATATTGTTGTTGTTTGTGTTATTATCATATGCAATTGAATAAGTAGACCATTTCAGAATTCAAAATTTGGGACTCTCTAAATGCATAATGGGACTCATACTTTTCTGATCAGCGAGTCCCTGGGACTCGCAGGGCTCAAACTGTACAATTATCACTGTAAGTGCTATTCAAAATGAGTATATGTCAGTCTAGATAATTTGTTAAAGCTCCAAAAATGCAGATGAATGAATACTTTGACCCCATTCAATGGTAGAGGCAACCCTTTTGCTATCACAAGGCTCAGTTGAATAAGATTATACATTGCAACTGAGAACATTCTGTCTCTTCATCCGTTTGCAACAAATTCACCATCACTTCAATGTGTGTGTGTGTGTGGGGGGGGGGGGGCATATGTATGTGTGTTGCGACAGTTCATCATTCTGTTTGTGTTTAGTCTGAGCAATTCATTTCCTTCCAGACAGTTAGACCAATCTCGGGGGAGTGGTACATTTTGTTTGACTCTGCTGCCTGTCTGATTTTCGTTTGAACTTTAAGACGAAATTGTATTCCCTACTTCCTTCCCTTCACTACGTGACCCTGAAAGGCAAAGCACAAGAACACATAACAAAACAAACAAACAAACACAATTATTCGCAAACTCAAAAAAAAAAATTAAAAAAAAAAACACAGAAACACAAAAGACAAGAGGCAAATCAAAAATCACAAACAAACTTCACCAACCTACCAACCACTTCCAGCAGGAAAACTTTGCTCTACTTGGTCTTTTGTAGTCCTCTGATTGGCTGGAAACAAGTTCAGGCTGTGTGTTGGATATAGAAGACTAGTTACAGTATAATAGCCAAAGAAATTACTGAACATTTATTATTTAGAATTAAGTCTGCTCTCCATAATTTGTGTCGTTTCCAACATCTTATTTTTGTCAGGCAAGTTTTTCTGCAATGAAACAAAATTACAGCGTAGAATGGATGAAAGTAAAACACTTGGGGCCTCATTGTCTCCCATTCCCTCAAAATTGGACTGGCTTGTTGAAGAGAAACAAACACAATCTCGCACTAATACTGACGCTTAAGATGCATTAAAACAGTAATGGTGACTTTGCGGTTTTGATCATTTATTTTTAAATGTTTCTATGCCGGTCCATTGGAGTATAGCTTTATATGAAACCAGTCTGTGGTGCAAAAAAAGGATC